GAGTAGGCGTAGGCGACTCCCTAGACTCGTTAGTGGAGTAGGCAAGGTACGGTCCGGCATATTAGATAGTACCAGGGTACGTTCCGGTATACCGGACCGTACCCAGGGTTCGTTCCGGCAGTATCCCGGGGGACATAGACCCTATGAGCAGTACTACTAGTGGTTCAATAAAACCAATGTCATTTACATCAATATAAATATAATATTATATCAATATAATAGGTTAGGGTTATGGTTAGGGTTATTTTTAGGGTTAGGGTTAGGGTTAGGGTTAGGGTTAGGGTTAGGGTTAGGCACATTGATTTTATTGGGACCCATGTTCTCTATCCTTGGGCCTATATGTATGTACTGCTGGTACTGGTCATTGCCATTGAGATGGTTTAGTTGATCATGTAGTTCTTGGGTACAGAATTGGTAGTACAAGTGCTATAATAGACCTTATACTTACTGAATAATCGCCACTACACTACCAAAAAGTCTCTATTTTAGTCAGTGGGTCAATAAATTACTCACCAGAAATCTTGTTGACATTCGCCAGGGTAGACACACACACCAAGTTTCTGTACGATTACTAACGATGCGTAAGCGCATGCGTATATAAACCGTTGATTTCCAAACATTAGCAAACAACATACGTAAGGAGAATTCAGCACTTTTGTCAACAGATTTTACTTCATTTACGTCGACAACATGAAAATTTATAGAGACAATCAGAGACAAATACGATACGCAGCTGTTCGTGTTGCGATAACTTGTGGTGGACTGGTGGTCAAACGGTGAAACTTTACTGTGTATAGATGGCGCTGCTCAGCTGATCACTCTGGTATCACCAACGTTCACGTAGAGGAGCCAGGGTTTGTGGAAGATGAGAAGAGCAAGAGGTAGATAGAAGCAGGCGAGCAGAAAGAGGGAATGATGGGAGGAGAGCAGGAGGTGGGGGAATGATATAAGGCGCGTTCACACGGACGTTTTTGGCCCATGCCTAATTAGGGCCGCGCCAGATTTGGCTCGAGCCGAGCGTTCACACGGACGTTTTTGGCCCGAGCCTAATCAGGCCCGTGCCAGATTTGGCTCGAGCCGAGCGTTCACACGGACGTTTTTGGCCCGAGCCTAATTAGGCCCGCGCCAGATTTGGCCCCATCGAAAACGTCGGACCAGGCCCGAGCCAAATTTTAGCACCAGTTTTCGGCGAGCGGTAGAGTGATAGAATTGGTTGAGCGGTAGATGCCGCGAGTGTCGAACGTGTACTTCGACGAAATAAAGTCCAAAACAGTATAAAAATTTGAAAAATTTGATCAGGATGCACGTTTTCAAGATTGATAATTGAATTCGGAACGGAAGTAAACACTCTGAATCGTACACAACGCCATCTCGCGACATACTGCCAAAGTATCTGTGAGATATTTGTGCAATAAAATTTATTTGAATTTGAATTTGAATTTGACAGGTAGTATTCACTTGCGTACGTGTGAACGCTCCGACTCAAACCGGCCCGAGCCAAATTTGGCCCGAGCCAAATTTAGCCCATTTGGCTCGAGCCAAACCATGACCGTGTGAACGCGGCTTATATATAGTACGCGATCGATCGCGTAGATCAAAGCCGACCGCCGCGCCATACGACCTTCAGGCTCTGTTTATGAAGTAGCCGGCCCAGGCTCTATACGACTGTTTCACGTTGTAGGAAAAATATTTTGGAACTCTCTTTAGGTAAATAAAATGACAAGAGTCGGATATTTGAATATGTATAATCGGCAGGCGGTATCTTTGAATTTCATTTTTTCTTGAAGCCCTCTAAAAGTGACCGCAGTCGCACTCTCATTCGCATCAGTCGCATTTTTCACTCCGAAATCTGAAGTGCGGGCGGGTGACCCGAACCAAAGCTAATTTTTTGGTTGGCCATTTAAAAATATTTTTCAATCAAAATCAAATTACCTGTAATTAAATTTTACAAAGGTACATTTTTTATGTGACATAAGCTGTACATGCTTTACACGCGCACGCACACAGCACACACACACACATAAGAATGTGCACACACATCAGGGGCGTGTACAGGATTTGTACCAGGGGGGGGGGTCTAACCGTAACCCAAACTTGCGAGCACACGAAGGGGGGGTCCGGGGGGTTCTCCCCCAGAAAATTTTGAAATTAGACCCCCTTAGATGCGTTTTCTGCGCGAGCAGGGGGGGGTCCGGACCCCCTGGACACCCCCCCCCCTGTACACGCCACTGCACGCGCGCGGACACATGCACAGTTTTGCACACACACACTGTCACAGACACACACCTAAACGAATGCATGCCCGCAAATGCACACATACACGCACGCACGCACGCACGCACGCACGCACGCACGCACGCACGCGCACGCCCGACCCCGCAGTACCTCGGTGAAGTTCAGGTCTATGTACTCCTTGGCCTTGCGGTGCAGCTGCGAGCAGCCGTGCTGCTGCGCGAAGTCCGAGATGCCGATCGCGTTGCTCGGGTCGAGCTGCTGCTCGAGGAACGTGCAGCACGCGTCGACCGCGTGCGTGATCTGGAACATGCACGACGTCGGCAGCAGGCGGCAGACGTTCGCCTCGCTCACCGACAGCTCGGCCGTGTACGCAAAGTCGACGAGCGTCGCCATCACGTCGGCGTGCACGCCGTGCAACACCACCTCGCCCATGTCGGCCTCCTTCAGGTTGCCGCAGAACATCGCGCGGAAGTAGGGGCTGCACGACGCCAGCACGACGCGGTGGCATGCGAAGCTCGCCTCGCCCGTGCGCACGACCACGTCGCAGAACTTGCCCGAGCCGCGCAGCGCGTTCATCTGTCCGAGCGCCTCCTTCGGGTACTCGGTTATGCTGAAGTGCATGGCGCCCTCTGGCGGTCGCGCGGCCGACAGCGGGCACGCGCCGCAGCGTGTCTTCGCCGCGCTCGACAGACCGTTCGCGGTCAATTCGCTGGAAGCCATGACGGGTGAGCTGAGCGACGACGACGGAAGAGTTCTGTTCAGTTGCCAACTGACATGTTTAGCGATGTGTAGCGGTGCATGGATCAATTAGTCATTGTTTACGATCGACACCGACGCCGTTCAACACACACTACGCGCAGCGTTGGTTGCATGATGCTTGCAATGAGAAATTCCCGGTCGAACAAACGTGCATTGTCTGTGATTGCATAAATTAACACGCTTATATCTGCTATGGGAATTTGTGATGCAAACTAGGTCGTCCTTACTCTCAGTGAATGTAAGTTGGGAGTCAGCCACCTTTACGACGTTTGATGTTAACATCGTGACTTCAGTACAGCCCAGCGACTCAGGTGAAGTGTGTATCGGCTGCCCCATCCCTCCACGAGCTGTTGTTGATCATATGCACGCGGACAGCGAGTAGTGCTGAGTCATCGTTCATTCGCTGTGTGCATGTGCCAGCTGTAAACTGTAACAGATCATGAAATCGTATGACCGTTACCAACAAGAAATCAAAGGTGGCTATTTATCTGATGGTAAAGGTGCCAGCAACATTTTGATGCCATAAAAATAGTTGGGATCTCTAAGATTCCCAGTACTGGCGTGTAGCTTTACCCTGATTATGTATGTCCACATATGTTTCTCTAGGGTGTGTACATATATGAAATATAAATCGCAGCAGTATCATAGATCTCAGATTCATGAAAATACCGTAACACCGATTCTGCTACTGTTTAACCCAATATAAGTATGCTGTATATATAAGTATTGTTATTATGTATATTTTTATTGATTATTGGTGTTATTTCTAGTACTGCAGTGGGGGGCACACATGCCAAGCATGACTAAGCACAAGTTGCATGACTAAGCACAAACGCACTTGCTCACGAGTTGTTTATGCCAGTATATCAGAATGAAAGTGTCAATGACACTGTAGCTCACCACAAAAAATGACACAAATGAGTGAGTGAGAAGAAGTCAGTTTTAATTGAGCAACCATCGACGTACATTATAGAAACAAAGAGTATATATGGGAGAACTCCATACAAAAGCAAATTATACACAAAAGCATTCCATCAAAGTGTCAAGTTTTT